TATAAATAAAGCCTAGTGTTCTCTTCACTACTGGTGGAACTACGTGTTCAGTTCTGGAGCACACAGGCAGTCTGAAGTCCATTTGAACCGCTGCCCAATGTGGATATTATTGCCATATTCCAAAGAGCTGAAGCACAAACTATGGAAGATTTCTATCCCAATCCTTTMTGGGCAAGTGTCTGCAAGGTGAAAACAAGCCTAGAGCTATTACRTACACTATTTTGAGCAGACAAATCAACATCCCAGAAACCAGACWTTTTTTTTGAGGAAATAAATTCTGTCATAAGGGGATTTTTATGGTCACTACAGACCTTTGCCCCAGTCCTATATGAAAACCCAGGATAAGGCCAGAAGTCATATCAGACTGCTATACAAGCACATGAAGCTTCCCTTATGACACAAACAGCATTTCACAGGCAGAAGGTCCACAAATATAGCTAAATATTGCAATAGTTTTGATCAGATTTTGATTAAACTCGGGAGTAATTTTAAATCATTCTCTGGAAGAAACACTTCAAATAACTCAAAAACTTCAGCAGTGTCATCAGGTAGCACATGTCACTATTGGCCAGCAGTCAATAGCTAGGATAACACTCAGGTACACTTTTACAGAGCTRACCATAAGCTACCAGACTTCAGCTCTAAGCAGTGCTCAGACAGAGCTGGAACAGAGACCTTGGGGTGTACCAATGTCAAGTCAAAATGCACAGTTCACTCATGTAAGTTGGTCTGTATTCTGTGGATAGTCCCAGGTAGGATTTCCTTCATAAGTACTTTTCTCATAACAAGTAAACTCCCTCTTTCCTCAATTAGACAGATGGCCTCTAAACAGCATGTGAAGATCCAAACGTCTTGACCACATCCTGGTTAGAGTCAACATCAAGAAAAGCAATCTTGGAGATCCTTGAAGGCAACCAAGATTACAAAAACCAGAACTCTGTAGGTCAAATTCTACTTGAGCCAATAGAATTAATTCTGACATCTTCAAGACAGGACATCACACAGAAAAATCACATCAGCTATGCATTGYGATGATGTAACTATTGAAAGTCTTAATGAACCCACAATCACAGCCAGCAAATGCAATAAATGCTGGCAGTAGAGCTAGAYGGATAAAGAGATGGTGATGCATGCTATCTAATGAATTCTAGTTGGGATCTTCCTTGGATTTTTCTTAGATTCAGCAGAAATGTTAAGAGGCTCATTGTGTGGCAATCCTTGTGGGCATGTTTGTTCAGACAGTGGTGGTGCTGGTAGGGTTAGCATCATCCATCTTATGAAGAGAAAGACCAAGCTGTTAAAGGGTTTTCAGCATCTTGTATTTAAGGTCCAACACTGACCACAGGATTTACCCAGAAGGGAAACATGGAACCTGGCAGGTGGGYACCTCTGTACAGCACACTGAGAACACACAGCTTGTCAATCAGTGGAAATAATCTGTCACCTCACCAGTGGCAGAGAGGGTCATGATGCCTGATTTCAAACTCCATACTCCACATGTAGACTAAAAAAAAATTGGATCTTTTTTAAAACAGTCAAACAGWCTACACATGCCACCCATCTTTCCAAAGAGCAATCAAAACAAAATCAAATTATGTCTGGGTAAAGATCTGTGTACTAGGTACAAAAACAGAAACGAGAAAGGAAGTTCCCAAAATGTGGCTCTAAGGGATTGGTCAAGATGCTCTCTCAAAACTACTAGTGAGGACACAGACTAACAGGAACATTCAAACCTCAGCAGGCAGCAAAAGAGCACCAGGAACCTTGAAGAACACCCAGAAGCCTGAATGAATGTACAGATAGAGTGTCAAAGTGTAGCTGTTAATGCCTAACTGCAAAGGTGCATTATTCCCACGAATGCACCCAAGCGCAAATTTGAAAGCAGTACCATTACACAGGTCAAGCTAAGGGCAGGGCCACTGCTATGGATATTACATGAACAAGTACTATTCAGCTCAACTTTTAGGCACTAGAAGGATTTCTGTATAGTAAGAACAGAAAAGCAGCCATTCAAGACAAGCAAAATAGGAATGAACTTTTCCAAATGACATATTTACAGTCACTCTGCAATTAAGATAAATTATTCTATTTGTGCTTTTATTCTAAAAGGACTAGAAATGTTACTACTGCAGGGGTGTTCCACCCCACTTCAGGATCTTAAGTGTTCCTGCTCTCTATAATAAGGTGCTTGCTGCACATAGTAACAACTTCTCTTTAGGCAGTGGGAAAGAATCTTTCCCTGTGGCTTTTAAATGATTTCACATAGTAAATTTCTTATATTTATACATACATAGGATTTCCATGTGCACATATGTAAGTAGAGAGCAAGCAACAAGTCTTTAAAAAGAAATCACTCTAGTAAGAAGAAAAATTAAAAAATACTTTTTATTCTACTCAGTTTTTTTTGCAACATCACATCTCTCCTTTTAAAACCTATCTCCTTGCCATCCCACAGAACTTACTGTTATGCACAAAATTTAAAAGTAACTGAAAGTAAAGGAGGGTGGGCTAATATTTATCTGGGAGGAAGGGGATTCTGTTTGAGGGTGGGATTTTCTTACGGTTTTGGGTTTCCTTTATTTGTTAGGTTTGGAGGGTTTTTTTTTTTGTTTTGTTTTGGGATTTTTTTTTTAATATGCAAGCATTGTCACATTTTATCAGAGCCCTATAACAGCTCTTCTGTTTTTCTGGCTAATTTTCTTCTGAGGCAGGAATAACACCTTTTTTTCTGTAAAATCATACCAACTTGTTAGGCATTTTTTTCTTWCCCTTCTTGCAATTATAATAGCAACAACCGTTAAAAAGACTTTTTTTAATTCTGTAACAGTGACTAAAATAATTTCCTTAGAGTACAACGTASGCTGTATGGAGTGCTGCTAGCATGCTAACTGAGGTCTTGCTGTTTTCCTGTACTGTAGCAAAGTCTTATCTCTAGTCTTAATTTATGCAGCCACAAGACTGTATGACAGTATTTTTGTTCAGTCCCTTGTAAAATTAACTTTGGGCTTATAATCACTTGTCACACTTCGTATCCCTGATAACACTATCTACTCCATCACCATCTTCAGTGAAACACATAAACAACTTACATCTGTGAGCACTTAGCAATTACTCATCCAAGCTTGTCAGTTATATGGGCACCAGTTACACCAGAGCTCACCACTTTCCTACTGTTATTAAAAGATAAGTTATTCAAATAAACATATCTATTACTAAGTAATCTGACTCATCACCAGAAGCTATTATCATGGGCTGGATAAAAAAAATTAAAATGAAATTAAGACTGGCAAGTATAGCTATTTCCTCTTTATTTGGACAGCCACCAGTTTTCATTTCTGTTATGAAACAATGAAGATCAAACAGGTATATAAGGAACAACATTAAAATTATGCTGATAATGGGACTTACTGTTATCTGAATAAAAAGATTAATAAAAAACTTAAATAAAACCAGAAGGAAACGAAGGGTAGTGTTGAAAAAACCCAAGCCCTAAGACTTTCTGAATAAATGTGGGTTGAAGGAGGTTGTGTGCACTGGGCCACATCCAAAATCCCTCTTAGACACTGCAATGTCCCCAACATAGGGACGAGCATCTCCTATACAATCCACAGGGAGAGGCAAGTGCTTTCCCAGGGCHTGTCTCCTCATCCACTGTACCAGAACACTTCAGTAACGTGTTCCAGTTTCCTTTACACAAAGCATATTGGGGCATGAACAGACACGTAGAGGATGTAGCAGTTCAAAAGGAAGCTACTGATTTACTGTAAATATTCTGAGTTTACTCCTTTTGGATATCAAGCATAATCAATTACTCCCTTGTCCTATACACCAACGCTGCATTTCAGTTGGCATTCAAGTAGTGTCTGAGATACATCCTGTTCAATTACTTTTTCGCTGCGTTAAAAACACACAGATCACATCCTCCCAACTAACTTTCTAAAGAAACAAGTTACAAAAAATTATGACATTACGTTTCTAGCAAACACCAAGGCACAAGAACCTGAAATCTGCCAATTGACTCAAAATAGTAATACAGTTTTGGTATAAATTACAAATACAGCTGCTGGGAAGAGAGAAGGCCATTCAAAAACACCCAAGAAATCAACACCCCAGCCAGCCCTTTTTCCCTTAAAATTTTTAGTTATATGTTTTAAATAGGATGTTTTCAGAATTAACACTGAAAAACTGACATTAAAACAAGACTTGAGAGCACAATATGGAAATTGCTTCTGAAACTGAATGTTACATTTAAAAGTAGTAGCAAAAGCAAATCAATATTGTGGTCAGTTAGGAGAACAGTATTTTAACAAAATAAAATCTATTTCCTCCCCTCACATTATAGACACCATATTTTTCTCCTCACCCACGTTGTAAGAAATGTTTTTATACATATGTTTTATATAGTATAGATATAACATTATTTAGTATTACATCTAAATACCAAATATTTTAAAGTAAGTTTTCTTGGAAGTTACCTATAGATGCAAAGAAAATGATGGCAAGAAAGTCACGTATTGGTTCAATACAGCACATAATCTCCTCAGTAACCATGTGACCCTGAGAAGAGATCAGAGCTCCAGCTAAGAAGCATCCCAGCTCCATTGAAACATCCAACAGCTCTGTGATCTGTTAAGGAACAAGAAATATCTYTTGCTGAATGACTCTATGTACCATTTCAGTCAAAGTATAAAGAGATTACTATGTCTTCATGCAAGTTCAACAACAAACAGAATTCACTGTATTTATTGCACTGTTCTGCAGTATTGTATTTATACAGAAGACTCACAAAACTAGCTTCTCCCTTTATGTTACCTCCTTTTCCACGAAAATGAAAATAAATTTCTTCATCTACACTGTAACGCTTAGTGTKGCTCTTAAGGACAGCATCTGATTTCGGAGTCGGAGAGAGACTATAACAGCTTAGGAGTCAGGATTATGTAATACATTGAGGCTGTGAAATAAAGCAGTAAGAACAGGATATCTTCCAGCTGTCAAACAGGGAAAAAATGAAAATCAAAGCTTGTATTTGGGAGAAGAGTCTCAATCTAGCAGAAGTCCCAAGCATAAATTACGTTTTATTATTGTAAATTTGGCTCAAATGTGCCCGTGTGCTTTACTGAGTAAGATTTCATTTAAGTGTGCAAAGTAAACTGCTGAAATGAAACACAATGTCTGTTTGAAWGAATTCAGACTGCTTTATTGCTTTTTAATATTTTAATGCACTGCTAGAAGAAGAGATGAAACACATGTAAAGAGACTAAACAAAACACAAAGGAACTACTTAAGGCAATGCTTGGAACATTAAAAAAATAATCAAGCAGCACTTCCAATATATGGTATGGTATAAAGTATGTTTTAAAATAATTACTTCAAATTCATGCAGCTGCAGATGGTCATTTTGCTAAAAAAGAACAGTGCTTTTAATATTAATAGAACGTTTAAAACCAAAGACTTATTTGCATTCTAATTTAGATTAAGCAAGAATACTCTGTAGTACATTTATGGACACTATTCATCATGAACTGTGTTATACTGTAAGATATGAAACAAAAAAATCAGGCAATCTGAAACTAATGGAGGAGTGTGAAAGACACAACAAACAAGTCTTCAAGCTACACATAAAATAGCAACTAAAAATAATCCCAAGACTTTTGTGTGCTGAAGTATTAATGTCTGAATGCTCATCACATAACTGAATTTGTGGCAGGGATCTGTAATTTATTGCAAGATATTTAAGGTAACTAGTTGGTTTTGTCAGCTAGTATAAACAGCTGCTCAGGCAACAAAACAATCAAAATAATGTTATTCTCATTTTTAAACAAAAGGAATTTTAGTGCTTTTCACAACAACTTGAATTTGTAAGAGGGAAGAAGGCAATGTATACATGAAGACCTTTAAAATCACCAAGAGATGAATAAAATAAAGGAAACAGTTATGAATAGGAAACATTCAAGTTCTTCTAAATCATACATTAGTTGTTCTAAAAATCACAGCCTTTAGAAGATGATTAAGATCCAATATAGCTTATTAAAATAAAGTTGGAATTATTTTTACTACTCAGCTATAATCCTCCCACATTAASTGTTATTAGCTGTAACAGAGCTCCACATCAAAACTTTTACAGCTAATATTTTAAACATACCATTGGACATGATTAGGCAAGCACATATGAAGAGATGTATCTTGTACCAGAATTGCATGATAYTGCAATGTTGTGAGAATCACTCTTCAAGCAACGAGCAATTTGAATGTGCAAGAAACACRTTTGCTCAGAAAGCATCAGACATAACTGGAGCAAACTGCATGTCTAACTGGGAATTTGGTCCCACAGCATAAAAACTGTATTACATTCTTTCAGCAAGCTAAGTATGAKCTCAAGGGCCTGTTACAAAAATAGGCAAATTTTGGTGTTTCTTGTCTAGTCTCTGCATACTACACAACTTCATGTCTACAAAATCTATAGGCCATACAGAAAAGTGTAGTGTATCAGAGAGAATGAAAAGAATCAAAAATCACATAATTTTCTTAACATTCTCTCCACTCCTCAAATTTGTTCTTCAGATTTACAGAATTAGCTAGGTTGGAAAAGGCCATTGAGATCATCAAGTCCAACCTTTCATATGTAGCTTTGTACAGAGATTCCTTTTACAAGTCCCATCTTGGTCTCTGGTTGYTCTGTAGTATTACCTGTAAGTGGACACATTTCCTCTGCTAAAACTGTAGCATCAGGGCTTGTTATATAAAATGCATACATATRCATTATATATAACGAGTGTGCACATGAGCACACACATACTGGGGAGGACATGTCTTAGTGGCAGGAAGGCATTCTCTTCAGAATTCCTTACATAAGCAAAACTTGGAAAGTATTACGCATTTAGTATTCCCTCTCTGCTTGCATCACTTCTAATGTTCTGTCCTTACCAAACAGGGCTTTAGAGATTACTAATCTCTGGGCTTTGCACTGTCCTCTTCTCAACTCTTACCTTACAGAAAGCTTTTTCAGTTAAAATTACACAAAAAAATGTTATCAATTCACATGTTTTTCCCAGTGCAACTTAATTTTCAGTTGTATTCACGAGTCCCATTTTACTCTAATTCAGAAAGGATTGCATTGCTTTCACTAGAATACTGGATTTGTATGTTCAAATGTTCTACCACAGCAATAAATAAAGAAATAAACATTACTGCTACAACATGTTCTGGTTGAATCTCAACCATCTGTTAAGCAGYTGTTTTGCTTATATTCTTCAATAGTGTCTATCTTATTGCTACTCTTTAATCATCACAGAAGCTTAATGAATATGGTAGGACAGTAAAATGAAATAAAATTTTGGTGGAAATAAAGGTATTAGAATTTCAGGCTTKAGTAACTTAAATCTGCTCAAGAATAAAGAGGTGAGTTTTAAGCTTGCATTTCAAGAAAGTAAAGCTGTAATGGAAATGGAACCAATTTTTAGTAAAGCTTSTAAAAACTCTATCTCAACAGTATTTTATTAAATAATTAACTAGAATATTTAAGACTGCAATTCTTCCTTAATCTTCTTTTAATTRATAGAAAAGAGTTCATAAGCAGGTTATAAGGCACTAAGAAGTACTTTAGGCAAGCAAAGAATCATAGTCCCATACTAGTGATGACATTCATAAGACACTGTAGAAAAAACTCTATACGTTTTCATATGTAAAGTACTGCAGTAACAAAACTGTATTTTCTTTTTGGTGTCTAAAGCAAACTGGCAACTTCCCTACACTTGCTGCCACTATCCCAGTTAAGCCATAAAGCAGTGAAACTAGAAGCCATTTTCCCCCCATGTGTATGCACAGTCCTATAAAYATGTAAATGTAACTGCTGTCCTTGTCAGGTCAGGTTTTATATTTTTCCATTTCCCTAATAACACTCAGCAACCTCAGTTTTAAATCACAATAAAACTGACACCTGTTGTTTTGCAGGTATCCAACACAGCAGTCCATTATAAGGGCAGTGTTCAGAGCAATTTTCCTTGCAATGTTTCTGTACATAYAGAACATTAGAAAGCAACACTACACCAGTGAGTGCTCAGGCTGACATATTTTTCAGCTCACCCTGGTAAATACCTTGACTTAAAAATACCAGTTTGGCCATTGATCCTGAATGGTCATGCTTAAAACCATAAACTAGATTTCTTCCTTATGCTGCAATTCAGGAGTACGGTTCACCAATTAAAATAAACAAAGAAAGGGACCATTATCTGCATACCTCAAAGCTTGAAAAGGAGCTGGTGAAAGTGCAATAATGATCTACTCAACCTTTGTTACCTTGAAGACAAGACGCATGATTCAAAGACGCACAACTTTATTTCTATGTTGTCTATACTATTACAGGATTGGCACTTGACACAATCTCCACCTCCCAGCCTCTATCTGCCTAACTATCTGAAGGATAAAAGGGAGGGGAAGTTGAATGATTTCTGAGAATACTGGGAAGGAAAGGGTATCTTAGGTTCCAAGTCTTACTAGAATATCTGCTTCAGGTGTAACAAATTGCAGTGTTACCCAAGTGAGCCAAACAGCTCAGAAATGCTCAAAACTCACTACCATACAGGAAGCTCCTCTACTGACAGGATAATCCTTACACGAAAACTGCTTGCTCAGACTGCAATATAGGAACCTCTTTTGTCTCATCTTCCCTCTTGTTCTCCCATACAGAATTTGCACTCATCAGCTGGGAAATGGCAATTCTTGTTTAATTAATCATCTGAGAYTTTTTAAATACAAGAACCAAGTAAAATTATTTAAGTTTATATATAATAAGCATTACATGTGCTGGAGTTACACATTAATCCAAATACAGAAAAAGCTTAGCTGGACCCCAGAAACCCAGCCAACACTGATGCACATAGTAAGTAACTATGCATGAGACAGGAACACCACATAATTCCTACTGTCTTTGYTGTGTACTGAAAAGGATGTATCCTGTAGAGTAACTCACAATGGTAGTGAGTTAAAATATTCTATTTTAAAATGTATCTCAAATTTTCTAAATGRAGCCACAGAGTTGTCTTTGGTCAAGGGCACTAAAATAGGCACTCTCTTATTGTTCCTCCACAAATTCCAGTTTTTTTAGAATTACACCAGTATAAAAAAAATCGGTGTTTCAGATTAATTACACCATCTTCTTCAAATTAGGCTTGGCTTTCCAAGGAGAAAGATCTTTGCACAATCCATGACAGTTTAATAGTTCTCCTACCTGGCACCCAAAAATCTTAATTTAACCTTTCCAAAGAAATGCAACATTTTTTTCAGATCAGACTACCATCACCCATCCTATGTTAGTATTTCTGACATAGTACACTATCTATACCAATTAAGATTGGTTTTCCAGAAGATTTGTTGTTCACCTATTCAACTCAACAAGCAAATACTTTTTTACTTTTCTTACTGTTTTTTTTAAGTGTGTGTTGAAACTACAATTTGTACCATAACTATAATGAATCTATCAGTGTCAGTGAATATCAAGCATCTCAACTGGTTGACTGAAGTTACCTGCAGTATCCTATGTTCCATTTCCTTTGCTAAATTATTTATCAACTTTAAAAAGAAAGGATTTTGAAAATGCTGAAGAAGCCTTCTGATTTTGCGGTATAAATCCAACAAACTCAAACATACTCTCCTCCCTTCCCCCACCCCCATGTTTGTGTACACACACGTATTGTGTACAGTCATGTAGACAAACTCCTTGTACATTTGAAATACAATTTGGGTACAATAAATTCACTTTAATTAAAACCATGGCCTACATACAAGTAAGACTGCTCCTAGATACCACCATATTTTACACACCTTCTGCGGCTTGTTTGCTGTTTTTTCTTAAAGTTGCTCTACAAGCGTAATGTTTGCTTGTTAGAAAGTAAAAAGGAGAAACTAGTTTTGTTCCTTCTCTTATTAGATGACTCATTTGGATTATGAATAGATGTTTAGAGCAATGTCATTTCTAACTTATACGATAGAAGTCTAACTTGTAAAGCAATGGTCTCATTAACATTTTTTTTGACCTTCTTCCTAAAGATCAGYTTTCCCTACTGGACTAACTAAGCAAAAGCCCCTAGAAAACAGGCATAGGAACTTTTTGGCTTAATTAGTCTCTAGGGACGTAACAATCTGCACTATGARGCTAATGAAGTGTCAAACCCACAACATTATCAAACAACTGTCACATTCTACTCTCCAGGGGTATAGTTTTTCAGAGGGCTGAAACGTGAGAAGAGACAAGAAAGGAAAATTCAGAGGAAAATGAAACGCACCCAATAGGGTTAACCAAAATCTATGAACTTAAGGAATTTCCCTGCTTTCTTAACTTCATCCCAAACTGTGTCTCCCAGACAAAAAGAAAATTATTTTATAATAAAAATCATGTCGAAACTTTGCTATTGAGAAGAAACTTAAGCAACTTGCAAGCAAATGTCACAAGCAGACATCATTAGTATCTCAAAACTCATCCTAAATTATTTTCAAATGCATGAAGTAGCCTACAATTGAAACTCAGATCATGATTCTTAAACTGGCTKTATTAAAAGCTAACAGCGGAATTTTAGCTGATTGACAATCAAATTGTATCTCTTCTTACTCATCTGTGTTAAAATGCAGGAATTATCTGCACATTTGGGGGGTTGTTTTAAAACCAAGTAATTATGGAGCCATGCATGTATGCAATAACAGTAAGTGTGATGGCTTTTGTGATACTGATGCTGTAAACTATCGCATGTATAAAAATRTTCTATTAATTTAAAAGATTACCGTTAACATAAGGAAGGTGAATGCAGTTATTCCTAGAATGAGGATTTCTTTATTCCCTTTGCTTTCCGTGTGCAACTTGCGGTAGTATGGTCCTATAAGGTAYGTCTTTATAACAAGACACAGAAGAAAAACAGCAGCCAGAGAAAACAGAATTTGGCCAATCAGTATCAGTATTCTCAGTACTTCCTTGAAAATGCTGGAAGAGAAGAACAAACAMAAAGTTTCTATCAAGTGTTCTTGTACTTCCCAACCAGTTCCCCATAAATGAAAAGATCTAATTCCAYAAATGCTCAAAACTGAGTAGCTACAGGAAGGCATTCAGGTAYGTTGGTAAACAAGATTCTGACTAAATCTGCAGAGTGCCCAGCGTGCTCTTTTACAGCCTAGAATTTACTTCCATGTTGACTCAAAAAGAATTTTGTTGACTGATCTCCARGGTAAGCCATCAGGCACAATAATATCTCCTAGTCTTTGACAAAAACATGCTCCAAGGGAATAAAGTAAATTAAGAAATTCAYTTACCTTTTTACAATAACAGCTTTGCACTAGAAATTTTAATTACCACACAGAACCAAAGCAGCTAGAGCAAAAAAGATTTTCATACAACTACCTTCATATGACTATTACAAGTTTCTACTTCGTGACAAATAGGAACAGTAAAGGAAACCTCACAGAACAGAGTGCCTATTTTCCATGGAACTGGCATTAGCTGTAGTACTCTCACATTCATATTCACAATTTACATACTAATTGCAAGGGGTAGGGGGAAGATCCATATAATTWTTTTTTTTACCTGGAATATGTGCTCACTCCTGCTTGTATAAGTGTAGGCATGACAGCTATAAATAAACCAAGCTGCACATCCTGCATCACCAACATGCCGAGCAGCACACTGCTGTAGTCAATATCCCCTGTACACCAGAAAAGTGGTCGTGGAAACAGCCATCAGAAACTATGAATGCTTGMAAATGCTCAGAAATCTAGAAAAGGCTTAATCCAATGGAAGTTCTGTATAGCTCTTAATTGKGTGAAGGTTATTCAAAGCCTTCTAGGGTTTTTTTTCCCACTACTAGGTAAATTAAAATATATCTATAAAGACATTAAAATACAAACAAAATATTCATATGAAACTTCTGTTACAYAATAAAAACACAGACTTAGCTTAGCAGTTTAGCACCAGTTATTCATTTAATTAAACTCCTCCACTGACAGTATTACAGGCTTTATTCTGAAGAAAAATGTACAAGCCACCATGTGTAAAATATAAACCTTGAATTCTGGCATTAGAATGAATATTCTAGAGGGTGAGGAATGCTTTAACACAACTTGTATGAAGGAGATTTAAGTGGAAGAAAGCAGGATGTAAAAACTTTCAAAAGGAAACATTTAGAAGTATTTAAGAAGCTAGAAATATGGCCCTTGAAGGTACTTATTTGAAGAGCTGTTAGCTAGGAAAGACCATCTAAACTGGTTTGTGTTTCCTTAAGAAGCACGTGAATTATTTAAATTAGCCTTTCTGCCCTGAAGACAGGTAGCAGTGGACTAATCTGGTAACTTCTTTAAAAGCTCAAGAATTCCAGATCCTCAGCAAAGTCGGTTCTAATGGAGAGCACTGGTTGGACTACACTGTCTCTCCTCAGACAGGACTGGCTATGTACAAATCAAGTACACTTCCTAGCAATAAGAATAAACACAACATTGGCCACTGTAAACCAGGCTTAACAGTGGGTTTTGGTTTGTTTTTCTTTTTTTAACTAGCTCCTAATATTACAAAGTCAACTCCTTCAAATTAGATACTGCARTAGTCCATATTTAAAGTCATATTTACCTTCTTTATCTCCTCGAACACTACCCGCAAGAAACCTGGACACCAGTGGAGTGCTTGATAAAGACAAACAAGTGGAAATGAAGACACTCTGTGTTGGTCTAATTTGGAGCAAGTGCCCCCACAGCAAACCAAAGGCAATCATCAGAACCGTCATGTAGCAGGGTCCTTGTAAAGATATTTTCCATACCTTGGGAACAAAACAACTTCTTATGATAAAGTCTRACATTTTTCTCACTGCTAAGTTTTMTCATTGCAAATAAGCAGTTAAAGMTGTGTGATTTGGGGCTGTAGTACTGGGCCACAAAGTGGCTGCCACCCTATACCACCTAAACTCCCAAGTTATTAAAACTGGTAGATATTCTATGCCAAAAGACTCCCTACCAGAAATGAGGTAAATTTCCCAAGGCTCATGGACAAATTAAGGGCCAAAGGTCCAGTAGGAKCTGAAATGCATTAAAATCATCAAATAGAGGACCAGTTACTTGAAGTTACTCTAAGATGAGTAAAAATTGGGTGTGGCAAAGGCAGACATTAATACCAGCAACCTGCTGCAACTAGTGCACACAYAATTCTGAAGCAGCAATTTACCTATTACAGTTTAGGAACCCTTGAATTACTAATTTTTATCTTGGACTTTASGTGGGCAAGAAAGAGCAGATTAATCTGAATGGTATAAATTGTAACATATTTCAATTACAGCTTTTATAGTATCATAAAGTCACAACTATCAGTTTAGGAATATATCACACAGTGCAATTCTTTACACACATACAGTCTTCACATATTTTGTAGCCATATTTTACACTACTAAAATTCTAGCTGGTTTATAACTTTTCTTTTTAAATTAAGACCAAAAAGAAACTTGTAGTTTTTGCTGAATTCTGATGGCAACATCATTTCATATTCCAGATTGTGTTAACATACTTTCTTAATSAGTTTATTAGCCAGTAGAGTATGTATTATCAATTCAGTATGTAGTACTTAAACCTTCTGATTTTGTTATAATAAGAATGGCAAACATCACTTACACTCCRTAACAGCAACATTACTGCATGTTAAAATAAAGCTGAAATGGATTGTCAAACTGTGAGATATTTTTCTAGTAATCAAACTGCTTTACTAAAATCAAGACTAAATGTAGGGTTTTTTGACACACTGAATAAATAATGCATTCTGTTCTTTCTAAAGTGCAGAAGCTAATGTCACATTTSTCTTTTCAAAAATGTACAAAGTCATACCAGGGTATTATAGGGAGTGTGTATAAAATCTAAAATAAAACTGAAACGTGCAGTTTCAGGAATTAGCAATTAAATACTTTAATGTAGAGATTTTATACAAAAATACCTTTCTTAATCTTTCAGGAGAAAATTCCAGACCAACAAGAAAGAGAGTGAAGAATACACCAAACTCTCCTAATGTCTCCACCTGTACAATAGACTTAGAGGAAAAAAAAAAAATCAGTGCACAGCAGTCTTACTTATAATATAAAATTCTAAGCACACAATAAAACAAAGTGATTCTAATTACGTTTCCACTGGAAGTTCACTTGCTGCTCATATGACATCAGAAGTTCCCACAGCAGCTTTAGGGTGCAATTATTCTAGAAGAATACTAGGAAATTTGGTTGGATAGTGCTGGTCACCCAGTATGCACATGTGCACTGATCTAGGTAAGTGCTGAGGCATATTTCTGATCCAGGTTGCTTGGCTGGCAAGCTGCACATTGAGATAGAGATTGCACTCTTAGTGGGAACCTGCAACAAGTGTCAGTGAACTGCCAACTTCTGGGATAGCAAAGGSCACGAAGGTGAATGGACCCTGAAAGGCTAAAGTCTCATCAATTATCAGACTGGGAAACATCCTTAACAGCAAGCTTACTTGSTGGTTAAAAAAAAAATAGGTTGTTTTATACATGCACTATTAAATCCCTAAGGCTTGCATTCTAGAAGCTACTTCTTGCTAGTTATTTTATTGGTCTGTTGGTATAATCTTCGTGCTTTAGAGAGAAGGGTCCAACAGCAAGAAAAGTTGTTGYCTTCCTCACCACAACAAAAAAACCGGGATACTTGTGGCTGGCAGTTGATGTACCCTCAKGGCTCAGCTCTAGGGCCAGTTCTGTTCAATATCTATGTACATGTATCAATGATCTGGAGTAGAATGCTCCACTAGAAAGTTTGTTGGTGATATCAGACTGGGAGGTGCAGGTGACTCTTTCGAGGGACAAGATGCCTTGCASAGGGATGTAGATATACTGAWGCATTAGGCAATGATTAATGGGAAGAAATTATTCAACAGTTTAAAATGCTGGGTTCTGATCCATCTAAACTGGGGTAATGCCAGGCGCAACAATGGATTAGGAGATGACTGGCTGAAGAGCAGCCCTGCAGAAAGGGATCCAGGGGTGCTGGAGGACAGCAGGCTCAGTGGGAGSCAGCAGAGGGCTCTGGCAGCCCAGAAGGCAAACCCTGTCCTGGGGTGCATCAAACAGAGCATCACCAGTCACTCAGTATTATCCCCCTGTGTTCAGTGTGGCCTCACCTGGAGCACTGTGTGCAGTTCTGGGCCCCACCATGTAAGGAGGATGTGAAGGTCCTTGAATTAATCCAGAAAAGGACAGGGCTGGAAGSAATGTCCTGTGAGGAACAGCTAAAGACTCTGGGTTTGCCTAGCTTGGAGAAAAGCAGGATGAGGGACAACTCTCCACAGCTTCCTGAGGAGGGGAAGTGGAGAGGGAGGTGCTGAGCTCTTCTCACTGGTATCCACTGACAGGACACATGGGAATGGTCCAAAGCTACCCCAAGAGAGGTTCAGACTGGACATTAGGAACCACTAGTAAACCAAGAGGGTGGTCAAACCCTGGAACAGGCTTCCTAAAGAGTTGATTGATGCCCCAAGCCTGTCAGTGTTTAAGAGSCATTTGGACAACACCATTAACAACATGCTTTTACTTTTAGTCAGCCCTGAAGTGTCTATCCTATTTCAAAAGCTTAGTATTTATTTTCTATGTATTTATGGGCTAGAGTAGAAGAAAACAAGGTTTATCATCAATTACAGCAGAGGGGATGGAAACTCGTTTCTGCCAGATTAGAATCWGCCTACCTTCTCAGTTCCTTGGACATTTAACTTTTTTAGGAAATACAGAAAAGACCACACACAAGAGATCCAGTCAGCATGACTAYTATCCAGATGAAAAACGTTTAATCACAGCTCCACAAGAAACATGCAAGTCACATAAACTGTCCTAAAGAAACCTCTCTCATATCTGTTCTGAGCAGATCATCTTCTTCAAGGTAAGTCTCTGAAAATTCATTGCTGGATCTCTTTCTAATGACAAGCTAACAAACTCATTTTTCAGTCTAAGTGGTCAAACTTTCCAAACATTCTCAACCCAGAAATCATGTACARAACATACAACAAGAGGTTGAAATTCTTTTGCCTCAATTTTAGAAATGAAATTTTGAAAGTGTARTATTTGCATCCTTCTCTTCCAATACAAGACTGACAAAATCCTACAATTTCTACCAATCTCTACTTACTTTTGAGCCCAACAGTCATTTTCAGCAGAAGCCCACCTGAGAGCAGATGTTGCAAAGACAGTAAAAGTTCTATGCGGTTTCAGGGATATCAATGCAGTAGAYATATGCAACTTACAAGCAGACATTACTGTGCAGCCCTAACATGCATTCTGTTTTGCCTGCTGGCTAAACAATCTGTTAATGCACACCAGAGAACTAATCAAAACATGTCCAGCCAATCACAGCTCACGGATTCACAGGAGCCAGTAATCAGGCTACACGTGATAGAGCTAAAAAGGTTCAAAAGACTTCAGGAATGTGGGCAGGGTACAGGGAAAGGAATAGAGTGACTAGGATGAATGAAAGAACTACAGAGGTGCAAAACAACTCTCTAGAAAGCCAAGCTATGTTCCTTGGGGGAAACTATTTGTTTTAAATGCTTTCTCCACTGTCAACACTGACTTTTTTCAAATTTCTSCATATTTTATGTCATTTAAACAATTTGGCTCTCAATTGTGATGCTTTGTGATTAAAGACAAAAAGAGTGAAAAAAAAAAACCCTGTTTTAAAAGGCCCACAACACTCAACCTTCAGTTTTCACTTTCAACAGTTGCTTGTGTCATAATTTTATAGGAGGAAAAAATATTGAAAACAAAATGTCTCAAAGACATAGAATTCTAAGGCCTCCTCTTGCAAAGGTTCAGGTGTGGGCAYTTCTTTTTCTTATACACATTTGTGGTTGACAATACCATATTCTTTTAAAACTACTTAAAAAATTTTCAACAAATTAAAACAGCCAAGAAGTAACTTCCATGCTTACCTTGATACTATTTAGTCCTGAAGGTCCTAAGAGTACTCCACAGATTATATACCCAAACATGGTTGGCAATCCTATTGTTGTGCACAGCCAGCCACATGGCAGAGACAACATTCCTATTGTCACAATATCCTAAACATGTAAGATTAACAAATGCATTAATATAAAGGACACACAAATTTGGAATGAAATGGAAGACTATTATCTTTCAAAAGATAAACAGCACTGTAAAATTAAATGCAGACTACTTGCTGTGAAAAGMAAACATAGCTTCAGTATATTAACTTCAATGCTATTGCAGGTATAGGCACAGCAGTTTTTCAGATGAAGCTGATGAGGTACTGACCTTAAGTAATTGGGGGACCTTTCATCAATTTATAAATATTTTAAATACATTATAGAAAGCAGGCAATTTCCTGGGGAATTTCCTGGGTGGAGTGACATTTTGCATTAAAACAAGATGGTGAAACAGAACAGTCTTGGGGTTTTATAATTAAAATTAAATAAAATAATTAAAAAAAAAAATCCAAATCCAGTTATTCTTTACGAAGCACATATACAATATRAACTCTACCATGTATTTTTCGCTATTCCTTTTTTCATCACAAGGCACAACCAGATAAATCATCTCTATTGACAACATGCAAGTGGCTTGTCAACCATAGCAGTAGCTTTAACACTTTACAGTCCAAGAAAAGGGATGCACTCAAAGGTGCAGCAAGATAAACCAATAAAAACAGAAAAGATTCACATGGCATCATGATCAGTCTTGTGAAGACTATCCTAAGAGCACAGATCATATGGCCAAAACCCCATAGATATGGGAGCCATGAATGCTGGGGTAACTTCAGAGGGACAAATGGTGAAACTATATTCATTCCAACCAAGTAATACTGACATGCAAACTAGTGGGACTAAATCCAAAACTGAATGACAATAATGTCTCCAAARCTATTACCTTTATGAAATGATGATCAGCCCGGGGAATGGTTGAATCTCTGGGTTTAGTAAGGATATACTGATTGTTCTGAGAATCAATTAGCATACTAAGACCTAAATCATCTTCTACTTCTCTTTTTGAAGCATTTCTTTTGGAGTTGGCTTCATCTTCTTCCACCCTTAAAACAGCTTCAAAGTTTACACCTCTGACCTTTTAGAAAAAGAAAACAAATAAACAAACAAGCAAAAAAAGGGGAGTCAAGCATATCATAAAAAGGGAAAGACAATTAGCTGTGCTTGAAGCTTCTACAGAAGTTGATAACACCAACTAAAAATACTGCAAATTTCTTCTCTAGGAGTCTTTCAATCTCTTTATCAAAACTTGACGTCTTTAAAAATAACATTTTATTGCCTAGAACAAAACCAAATGGAGATTACAAAGTGATACTCAGTTCACGAAAATCTGAACTAAAGACTGCATTCCAAGTYAAGAAAAGGTCACTATCCCCTAAATTTGAAGGCGAGATTATAGGAAATGTTTCTACCGAGTTATTGTCAGCATTTTATTTCTCAAAATAGCATTTCTTGTAAGCATTCTGTAGTGCAGAWTTTTTTTTTAATTTTTATCTGCTACACTTCTCTATTTGACTATATTTTAACAGAACCTTGTGTAACTTTATCAGAATATTGATTACTGTATTAAAGCTTCTCTATTCTAAAATTCCACWGTTTTAGTTTAAAAGAATATTCCTTGCAATGGATGGAGATGTAAACAGTCCTYCAGGCTGCATTTCACGATTCTTTTTCTTTCATGGATGGAGCTTCAAGCAGAAAAGCAGTGAGCTGCGCTGGAGAACAAGGCTCGGCGGCATTGTGCCCGCCCCCAGGTGCCGCAGCAGAAAGCCCGGCTCGGCCTCCCGACAGGGCTGCKCTACCCCGGCGGGACAGGAGAGGGCGCTCCCCCGGCCCGGCGCTGCCAGGTGCGGCTCCCACGGGACACAACCGCTCTCATCTGCCGCACCCGAAATCAAAAAGCTGCTTTCACTTTCGGTTCGAGGACAACTACGGAAAAAACCAAAACAATACACGGCTTGGCTCTTTGCTACAGAGAAACTGGTTTTGCCTCCTCAGGAGAAATCAAGAGCCATGCTCACCTCAGGACTCGACCTGGAAAGTAACAAAAATCTCCCAAGAGCAGAAGCCAAATAAACTGTGACCCATATTTATAAAAGCAGGGCCAATTTAGGAAGTCAACCTGAGGTTGGCAAAATGGGGCACTAGAATAAACCGACATACTCCCAGCTCCAGAAACACACAGCCTTACCTGAAGGACACTGTCCCATCATTTAACAGAAAAACAAGGTACAAAAAGTAGACAAAGCCACGTGTGGAAGCAAGCAACATCACAAACACATTTCAGGTCTTTGCTTTGAACAATATATTTTTTCCCAAACTGAAAACCAACTGCAAGGATTCTTGTTCTCCCATAACTTTCTCAAGAAAATGAAAAAGTGGAGACAATACTTAACATGGTAACTCCATATGCTGCCAAGTCCAACCGTCACAGTCCCCAGCACTACAGAGATGCTGYATCTCTCATGGCCTGTGTCAGTGAGATGGACTACACTTGTCAAAGAGGCAGTTGCAGGGAGGACTTTCAAATCAAAACCACAGAAATCGCTACCAAAAAAGGAGCAGTTACTCAACCTTTAACAGTCATTAAAATCCCAATAACTAACACAAGAGAAAAACAGAGTGCAAACACCAACTATAAATAAATGCACTCAAATTAAATGATTGAGTCTAAAGCATCACTTACAGATTTGTTGTCATCAAAGGCGTGTTCTTCTATTTCCTCTTCCAATCTATCAGCTGCCTTCCTGACATCTTCCAGAATTTCATCAAGCATCGACAGACTTTTGTTTTGGTGTTGCATGTTTTTAAGGGCCTCAACCTGGTGTTTTTCTGCTGCTAAGAGTTCAACATATTCCATTTCTTCCTGTTGAATTTTACAACAGACATAAAGTGTTGGCCAAGCTTCTGAGCAGAAAAAACATTTGACATAAATGTCGAATTTTTGCGTCTTTTGACACAAGACATTTTATCAGAGCAATTGCAAAAGCAATACAGACTTTATGAAGATATTTWARGATTGTGTWCTCTTTTGCCAATTTTCATTGRTGTAAYTGGGCAAAAARAAMCAACAACCAAACAAAATATCCACCAATTGCYTTTTATAATCMATTAGAGTTGGMCCAAGGTTATGATCCAGAAAATACAAGAAAGGATTTACTYTGAGAAACTCTAGGAAMCATTTCAGAGCCAAATAAAGTTTAGAACTTAGTGCTTTATAAAGGAAGCATAATACTTTGAAAGCATAGCTATAATACCTACAACAAACAAACAAATTA